GGTCTTATCGCTACTTTATCGCTACTTCCATGGCAAATGATTAGATGATCACTTCTTTAGTTTCATCAGTTCAAATCGTTAAACCAAGGACATGACGTGCTACTTCCACGGAACCGAATCACTCTCATTTCCTCTATATTCCAAATATAAGGAGAAATCTCTGCTCAGCTTTCTCCCAAGAAGTGCTACTTTGTGAATTAGTCTCCTTCCTGGATATCTTCCATAAACGCTGCTATCTTAACATATCTCAAGTGGCGAGTATATCAGTATCTATCCTTCCTATAATCATAATCTTACCTTCTCCATTATTCCCCCCCCACCCGCACCATCTCTCAAACACAGACGAAACGTCGCAAGACTCTCGCTGCTCTATCTCTATTTCCAATGAAAAAAGTTCAGACGAACTACATTCTTTAGTTCCACCGGTTCTAAGACCCACCATGCCACGCACACTGTAGCGAATCACCCTGATTCTCTTCGTATTCCATAGGTGAGATGTAAGTTCCGCTCGAGTAGCTTCTTCCCACGAACCACTGTTTTGTGGAACCGACACCCAAGAGGATGCTTCCTCGATCACTACAATATTCTTAACCTGTTCAAGTTCCCATATATCCCCATAAACAGTGTCTCTTACACTCTAACGCTCTACCTCGAGTGGCTCTTGGATCTTGTACAGGTTGAACATCTTTAAAAAATATCTCGCACCTCATTCATCGCAACCATTTTAACAGTAATTCTCTATATTAAGTGGTTCGCAGGACTTGTGAGTAAATTTTAGTATAATTTAAAAAAAAAAAAAAAAGTAATATTCAAAATACTTTCATCAAATCATTTTGTATTTTAATGCAATAAAATTTCAGCCGAAACCTTCTCCGGTCTTTCACAGTAATTCTCTACATTGAGTTGCTCTCAGGCCTTGTGAGTAAATTTTAGTATAATTTTTTTTAAAAAAAAAAAAGCAATATTCAAACTACTTTCATCAAATCATTCTAATACAATAACATTTCAGCCGAGACCTTCTACGGTCTTTCACAGATCTTGTATCCAATCTTTAAACTCCTCTTTCTACTGTTTTTGATTTAGTAATTTTCTAAGCGCGGCATAGATGTGGCACAAGGCCAAAAGTATGGAGCGCGAAATGAGAATCGAACTCACTGCTCAGTCGTAATTGATCTAGCAAGACAAGCTTTCTAACCCTTACACCACGGAGAGGTGTCCCTCTCTGCCGATATAACTTTAATAATTACTTCTTTTTTAAAAACCCTTGACTGCTTCAATCACGGGGAGAGACCTGAAGGCAGAAAAAAAAAAAAAAAAGAATCAATCAGATTTAAAATAGCTCGGTGGCGACCATCTCCCCTGTAAGCTCTTAACCGACAACCGAAAACCAAGGAATATGATATGGGTGGCAATTGGTCCATGCCCTCAAGTTTTCAATTCAGTGTTGATTTTCTACTAGGCCGGTTAACAACCAAAATTACAGGACCCAATCTATTCTGCTATTTACCCAGAGCTGAGGGAAAGAAGAGATGGATTCATACCTTTCTCAAGGGTATTAGCACACAAAGAAAAGTAATGAACTCGAGTTGAATGCGAACTCAGCTCCCCAATCCGAATCGAGCCACTATCAATTACTCTACCATGCCTCCAATTATAATTACCTACTTGGTATCTGTATGCGAATTAACTATATTCTTTTCATAAGAGCATAATCTTATATCAGTTCAGTCTAACCAATCTGTTCTGCTAGGTGGGGAGGGGGGGAAGAAGAGGATTCATACCTTTCCCAATTAAGTAATGGATGTCGACTGCAATTCGAACTCGGCTCTCCGATTCCTCAATCTAACCATTAGTCCACCGTGATTAAACACCCAGTCGGATTAAAATGTCAAAGTGTGTGTGAACTTTCTTATAGGTCAACGGCCATGTACCACAATGGGCCAGACTTGGCTTCATAGCTATGTAGACAGCCGGTGGAGCGATGACACCGCATCAGAGGGCTCCCAACGACTAGTGTGAGGGGGTTACCCCCGATAGAGCCACATGTCCGTGACCAAAGCGACCCTTTCAATTCAAATAAAATTGTGAAGGGAACTGGTCAGGTGATCTGCCGCGCAGGGACCCTACGACCACAATCGGTCATGGAACTGATGATGATGATGATGATGATGATGATGTGTAACTCTCTCTCATCCTCCTGATTGCTAAATAATTGTTTTTTTTTTTTCTTTTACAAAACACTTTACTGTTCACCCTTTTACTGGGCCCGGTGGCTACTCGAGTAGAGGGTTACGTATACGGAAATGTAATTTCGCTATCCATATCTTATCTCAGAAATAATAACAACCCCAACGACACAGACAATTTAGATATGTCAAAGATGATTCGCAAAGTGCTTCATCTGTAAAAAAAAAATGTTAAAGTTCTTGACATAATAAAAATATTCTGTTTCATAACTTTCATTAGAGTAAATAGATATAATTAACTTACGCGAAAACCAAGCTGTAAAAGTTCTCGACAATAGCGTAAGAAAAATATCCTAAACTGAAGTTGCTAAGATCTACGATAAGAACGAATCTTCCATCCAAAGGATAAATTTTATGACAGTATATTGTTAGAATTGTTCTATTTTATTATTAATTATTGCCGTTAATCTCTTCTTGTGCCTCATAAGATCTACCGTAGGAACGAATCTTCAATCCGTCAAATAACTTTTATTACAGTATACTGTTAGAATTGTTCTATTTTATTATTAGTTATTGTGGTTAATCTCTACTTTTGTCTAATAAGATCTACTGTAGGAACGAATCTTCAATCCGTCATATAACTTTTATTACAGTATATTGTTAGAATTATTCTATTTTATTATTAGTTATTGTCGTTAACCTCTTCTTGTGTGTAATAAGATCTATGGTAGGAACGAATCTTCTATCCGCCACAAAATTCTTATCCCATTAACGTTATAATTTTTCCATGTTATCATTAGTTATTGTTTTAATCACTTATTATGCCTAATTTAGAAATTAAAAAAAAATAGTATAATATATAGTATAGTTCAATACTGTGTGCAGTTTCATGGAGTCTTGGAATACTAGTATATATATAGCGATGTACATATTTATATCCTTGCTATATATATATATATATATATATATATATGTGTGTGTGTGTGTGTGTGTGTGTGTGTGTGTGTGTATGTGTATAATTGGTCTGAATATCGCACTGGAGTGTGAAACTGACAGTCATCATGCAATGTTGATTCCTATGTCCACAATTTCTATATCTATAAACACTCCTTGACTGATATTAAACACTGTTACATCATAAACGTGAAAACTTGTAAATCTCTCTCTCTCTCTCTCTCTCTCTCTCTCTCTCTCTCTCTCTCTCTCCATATATATATATATATATATATATATATATATATACAGGATTTTATATTTTCATTTTACAATTCCGTACTTGTTTTTGATTTTGTCGACTGCACCGGATTAGGGTCAGTTGAGTACCCTCTGGAAGAAAAAGAGCACCATGATGCAATTCAAACTGCCAGAAATCTGATATGATGTACTGCTTGGCATTCACACCGGGAGCTTCAATACAAACATTTCAGGCTGTTTGTGTGTCAATCTGAGGACAATACAAAGGATTCATAATGAGTTGGATGATACAATCAGTCAACATCATGGTGTTTGGAGTGATAACTAACTACGTTATACCTCCATTTCACATGGCTTCATACTCAACACACAGGTCTACATAATGCGACTTGAGGTGGTAGTGCTGCCCTGGGTCAAGAGGGTGGCTGCTGGAAGACCTTATGCCTGACAACAGGACTCTGCACCATGCCACACAAGCAGGAGAACCCAGTCATGGCTGTTAGACAATATCTGCGACCACATCAACCTTTGGCCACCTAACTCCCCATACTTCAACACCCTTGATTATTATGTGTGGGGCGCAGTTGAACGAGAGACCAACAACATTTCATGTAACACCAAAGATGAACTGAAGGCAAGGATAATGTCAACATTTACCAACTTATACAAGGAGACCGTCCAGGAGAGATGTAGGAGATTCCGAAGTCGTCTGGAGACTGTGGTTGAAGCCAATGGCGATTTTATTGAAAAAAGGTTTGTTAAATATATCTGTTAAAATGAGATGTCAGTGTTATTTTCATTTTGCGTAATTTAGACAATTTATCCATTGCGCCCTGTATAAATAGACAGACATATGGATAAAAAGATTCTCTCTCTCTCTCTCTCTCTCTCTATATATATATATATATATATATATATATATATATATATATATAATGAGTGAGAGGGAGAGAGCTAGATAGATAAATAGACAAATAGATAAGTAATCTCTCTTTATAGCTAGCTCGATAGATAGATAGATAGATAGATAGATAGATAGATAGATAGATAGATAGATAGATAGAAAGGAATAGACTGAGCTAGCTAGCTAGCTAGCCAGATAGATAGATAGATAGATAGATAGATAGATAGATAGATAGATAGATAGGAATAGACTGAGATAGAAAGAAAGACCGACAGATAGAGAGATAGATAATGAAGAGACATAGATAGATAGATAGATAGATAGATAGATAGATAGATAGATAGATAGATAGATATGCACATGCATGTACGTAATGTGCTTATGTGTGCGTATGTGCGTGCTTTTGTCTATGCGTGAAAGATAGAATTGTTGCGTATGGATACATATATTTTCACGCACACTCAAGACTGCTTCAGTGATTTCCAAACAACCGAAGAAAGAAAGATCTGCATAGACTCAATATAAAAATGAAAAAGAAAGAAAGAAAAAAAAAAGGGCGGCGTTTGTGGCGGACGTAGTGTTTTATATGCATCTGGACTCACGCGCTGTTTACAAAAGGGCAACGATGTCTTCCATAAAAGTGTTTGAAGAAAGACTACACAGGGTGATGCAGCTATTGATGCATTTACTTGCAAACTCATCATCACGTCTCATACATGTCATTGGCATCTGATTTACGGCGCCCTATAAACAAGACAAGATGGTCGCCGGGGTGAACTTAGTTCAACCGATAACTGATTATTCTTCAGCGAAATGAGAAATTAGTCCATCTTCATAAAAATGGATCATTCGAAGCTCTTCAGAAACCCGCTTATCAGAACTAGCCAGGCAGAAAATCACACTCGGGGCATTTTTATTTCTTCATTTTCGCCTTCAAGTTTCTTTTTTTCTTTCTTTTTTTTTTTTTTTTTTTCATATTGTTTTCCATTTTTTTAGCTTCTTATTGTCGTTTTTAGTGCAGTTTTCGATTATTTTAAAAATAGAAGGAAAACATTCTAAACAATGTATTTCTTTCATTTCATTTTTATTTTTAGTTCCGGTAAATTGTTTTTGTTTGGGGGGTTATCGCTTTTTTGTTTTTTTCTTCTTTTTTTTTTTGTTTTTCTTATTTTCGCGCAATTTTCATCAACTTCCGTCTGTCTTTCTGTCCTATCTCAACGTATTTAATTTTCTCCCAATTTTTCCGACTTTTTTAATCTCTGAAATTTTTTCTAATATCCATTAGAGCAAGCCTCTTTTGTACACATTCTTTTTATTCTCATTTTCTTTCTTTCTTTTTTTTAGTCTTCCTTTCTTTCTTCCTTTCTGTTCTAAAGGTCCTTTCTTTCTTTCTTTCTTTCTTCCTTTCTTTCTTCAGGTTTTGTTTTAATTTTATTTCTTTATTTCTCTCGACATATTTTCTTTCTTATTCTTTTCTTATCACGTCTTCTTTGTTTCCACCGTTCATTTTCTTTCTTTTTAATATATTTGCAATTCACCTTTTTCTTCATATTTATTCTTTCGAAAAACTTTATTTTTACGCTTTTTTCTTTCTTTTCTTTCTTTTAACTTTCTTCTTTGATTATTTTTCTTTCTTTAGGTTTGATTTTATTCTTTTTTTCTTTCTTTCTTATGATTTTGTTTTAGTTCTTTCTTTCTTTTTTTTATTTTTACTTTCTTTCCTCCTTTCTTTCTTTCTTTATACGGTTTTATTTTAATACTTTCGTGATTTCTTTCTTTATTAAGTTTTTGTTTTACTTCTTTTTTATTCTTTCTTTTTTGGTGTGTTATTTTTATACTTTCCTTTCTTCTTGCTTGCTTTAAGACTTTATTTTATTCTTTTTTTATTACGACCTTATTTTATTACATATATTTTGTCTTTTTCTTTTTTTCTTGTTCCTTTCTTTAGGCCTTGTTTTATTCTTTCTTTCTGAAGGTGTTAATCTAATACCTAATTATAATTCTTTCTTTCTTTTTGATACTTTGTTTAGATGCTGTCATCCTTTCTTCTTCCTTTTTCTTTCTTTCTTTCTTCAATGCTTCGTTTGATTCTATTCGCTCTTTCTAAGCTTTTTTTATATTTTTCTTTCTATTTCTTTTTTTCTATCCAGGCTTCTTTCTTTCTTTCTTTCTTTCTTTCTTTCTTTCTTTCTTTCTTTCTTTCTTTCTTTCTTTCTTTCTCATTTCTTCTTACCTAATCTCTATAACTTTATCTTCTTTCAACGTAACAGTTGTTTCTCTTTTTCTCCCTCTTTCATTCCTCTGCATTACGTCATTCCCGTTGCATTTATTTTATTTTTCATCTGATTGTTTTCCCGCCTTTTTCGCTCCTTACTTCATTATTCCACCTTCATACATTAACAAAAAAAAAAAGGGATTTTTTCCTTCCTTCCATATTTCCTTCTTCTCTTGACAATTTCTTTATTTCTTTCTCTCATTTTTTTTCTTTCTTACCCCAACAGTAATCCCTTCTGATGTACAATTCGTATTTGTAATAGAGCCAACAAAGTAATTGAGGAGAGCTTGGCTTTAGGGCGAGCCCGAAATAAAATTTGGACTAAATTAATGATGGCTACGCCACAAAATGAGCGGAACAAACAAATAAACAAAAGAAAGAAAGAAAGAAAGAAAGAAAGAAAGAAAGAAAGAAGAGGAAAAATGTCGATGAAAGGAAAAAAGGAAGTCAAAGTGCTGTGATTTGGAAAGAAAGAAAGAATCAAAGAAAGAAAGAAAGAAAGAAAAAAGAAATAAACAAACAAACAAACAAACAAAGGAAGGAAAAAAAAAAAACAAACAAACAAACAAAGGAAGGAAGGAAGGAAGGAAGGAAGGAAAATGGAGACCAGAAAAAGAAAGAAAAATGAAAACAATGAAACATAAGAAAATGGTACAGGAAAGTTTTAAGAAAAAAATAATGAGAACGAATAGTAAAAACTAAATAAGAAAGAAAGAAAGAAAGAAAGAAAGAAAGAAAGAAAGAAAGAAAGAAAGAAAGAAGATGAAAAATGTCAATGAAAGTAAAAAAAGGAAGAGAAAATACTGTGATTTGAAAAGAAAGAAAGAATCAAGATGGAATGTGTCGGTAAAAAGAAAGAAAAAAGGAAAAATGAAGTGATTTGTAAAGAAAGAAAGAAAGAAAGAAAGAAGGAAAGAAAGAAAGAAAGAAAGAAAGAAAGAAGGAAAGAAAGAAAGAAAGACGATCGAAAAAACTCGATGAAATGAAGAAAGAGAAAAATGCCGTTGAACCAAGAAAGCAAATGATTTAGAAAGAAAGAAAGAAACAAACAAACAAACAAACAAAGGAAGGAAGGAAGAATGAGGAAAAATGGAGACAGAGAAAAAAGAAAGAAAAATGAAAACAATGAAACATAAGAAAATGGCACAGGAAAGTTTTAAGAAAAAAAAATGCGAACGAATAGTAAATCCTAAGAAAGAAAGAAAGAAAGAAAGAAAGAAAGAAAGAAAGAAAGAAAGAAAGAAAGAAAATAAATAAGAAAAAAATAAGCATGCCT